AATTAAAATATTCAAAATAATATTACATTTAAATAAGCTTTGGATAAAACCTTGTCATTTTCACGAAGCTATTACGGCTAGTGAAGCTAAAGCTTATTAACGATTCAAAAGCAGGATGGTCTAGCAGAATGACCGGACAGCGATAGCTGCCAAAGGCTCTGTGTCGAACTCAGTACCTCTGCCTTTATATGCCGTCTGCCCTAATTTGTATTTTAGTAAGAGTTCATGAAAATAGAATTGAAAGTAAAGATAAAATAATAGCATTGCTGAGTTTAATAAAATTCTACAAATTATCATTATCCGCATATCATTAATGGTATTATTTCTTATCAAGGAATCTAATGCTTTCTTGAAATAGTTTTCTCTTTTGCATCTTGATAAAAAAAAAAACTCCCTCACAATTATTTCGTATGAAATTCTTAAGCCATTTAATATTTGCGATATTGAAAACAAAATCGCTAATGAAGGCAGTACATTAAATTCTACTGCATTCACGTGAAGATTATACCAATTGTCATTCAAAATTCGAAGCAGATATTCGCAACTGCGTTGCCGATAATATTAGCAGTACGAAATGACTGCAATTATTTTAATAGCATAGAATGCGCTACAAATAAATATTCGCAGAAATGCTTTACTTTATTACATTTACTATTACATTTACTTTAATAATTTATTTACATTTCTCTCTTTCTAGTATTGGTTCCCTATGAAATCTGAAAGTGTTAGCAAATTGAAACTTTTGCCAGCATGCTTTCATTTATTTTAAGGTCGTAAATGATAAACTAGACTAACACCTACATCAAACTAAAAACGAACATTTTAGAAAACGTTCTTTCATCTTGCAATGATTTTGTTTTAATTAATGATTTAGTTAAAGTATTCTAGTTGTTTGCCCATAGAATGCTAATATATTTTCTAAACAAGTCAAGAGAGCTCAGGATGATAAGCGAAATGGATGGATCGTGAATATATTGTTGCAAATATATAAATGTATTTGTTTCCATGTATTCTGTATTGTTTCCATTTCTTTAATGCATTTTGTGCAATACTATTTGCTTAATTAAATCTGTTGCTTTTTCGTAAATATTTGCTTCGTGTATTATGTTACAGACCATTTAATTCAGTGTCGACTGACTTTTGATTTGTAAACGTAGCATAATTAGAACCAATGCTATGTGCAGAAGCTCTTCTGCTGGGCTTTGGAGATATTTTTTGTTGCCAAGTTTAAATTACACTCATGTCCATAAATTAAGGATAATGCAAAATCAGGCAAAGGAGTTAGAAGCAAAACAAATTTGACTTATTTGTAAAGCTTATATATTAAACAAAAGGAAAAGAGCAAAAAAAGATGCTATATGTTTGATATTATTAAAAAAAATTAGCGAATTTTTCTCCCTGGAGCAAATTACAAAAAAAAAACCTATTTACAAAAAAAAAACAATATTACATGGTTGGTATGATTATTAATAGTACATTTTATGTCTCCCAGACGATGCAATGCAGTCCATACAACGCCTAGGCATGCTGAGTATCAAATTATCGATCTGATCTTGGGGGATATTACACCACTCAAAAAGCAATGCTCTCCGAAGTTCCGGTAGACATGTAGGAGGAGGTTAACGGGCTGCAACTCGTCGGCCAAGCATATCCCAGACGTGCTCTACTGGATTCAAGTCCGGGGAGAATGCTGGCCAGTCCATGCGGGTGACATCCTCCGATTGAAGGCATTCGCTTACGATGTTTGCACGGTGAGAACGGGCATTGTCATCCATAAACACAAATTATGCGCCCATGGCGCCCCGAAACAAACGTACATGTTGTTCCAGAATGACGTCCCGATAGATTTGGCTTGTCATGGTTCCAATTTGAACATGCAGGTCAGTTCTGGAACCCAGAATAATTCCACCCCAAACGAGCACTCCTGCACCACCGTAACGGTGTCGTTCAATAATGTTTTCTTGGTGGTAAGGGGTACCTGGAGCTCTCCATATGAAATTTCGGCGAGAATCAGAGTGCAAGCTAAACCTGGACTCGTCGGAAAACATCACACAAAGCCCACTGTTGCGGTGTCCACAATGCATGCCCTCTACTCCAGGCTAACCGCAGGCGACAGTGAGTTGCAGTAAGTGGAACGCATCTGACAGGTCTACGAGCATATAGAACCAATCTGCCCTAAGGTCTGCCTTGAAATTGTCGTACCAGTGGCTGAAGAGAGCTGACGAGACAGGTCTGAGGCTGTTCTCCTCCTGTTTCTTTTGGCAGTAACTGCCAAATACCGGTCCTCATTCGGCGTTGTAACTCAGAGGCGACCTGTGCTGTAACGTCTAGGAGGAATGCTAATATTATCTGCTAATATTATCGGAGGAACATTACCATCATCTTGGAATCGTTGTCAAAGCCTGGAGATGACACTCTGGGCAATTCAAAGTTCGTCTGATACTTCCAGTTGGGTACGCTCACATTCCAGACGGCCGATAATTCTACCACGTAACAAATCATCCAAATGCGTCCTTTGTGTCATAACTATTCGGTTATTGCACTGAAAGGCTTATAAAGCGCCTGCGAACAATTTTACTTCTTTGTCTGTATTCCTTATATATCACTCTCTTACACTCTCGTCATTGTGACGTACCATCGGTATCATTTGGTTACTTCCTGAAATTTGCATATGATTCTTGAAGATGTGTGTAGTGATTTTACAGGTGATATATTTATTTTAGAGTTCGATTTCCACGTGACTCCGAATTATCCTTAATTTACGGACATGAGTGTATTTGACGATATTTCGTAGGCTTGGCAACTTCCTGGAAATTTGTCGAAAACAGTTAAGAACAGCAATTTGGAAATTTGCGCACGCCTTGCCTCCAAGCCGTAGGATGGATTCTGCATAAAGTATTTACTTTTTCCTTTGAATAAACCTATGGATAGGGGGCAATGAGCAACTGTTAGTTTAGTAAATGATTTCAGTAGCGGCCAGCTGGATTGAGTTCCTTAAATGTATGTATCCTACTGAACTTCTGTTCGGTGTTTGCTAATTTAGATTTTAGGCTTTGCTCTGTGAGTGAAGTTCCTTGTCTGTGATGCCTTTGAGTGTTAACTTCTTCTATGCTCAATGAATTTCAGAAATTCAGCCCAGAATTGTCTATATTTTTATTACACAATTATTCTTCGGTGATTGTTAGTTTAGATGCTTTTGTTATGTAAGCGATTAACACTACCTGTTATGTTCCTTGCGAGACTTCTCAGCTTTACAAATTTCCGAAAACCGTTCTAATATTCTCTGTTTTCTATTATGGAAGTTGAAAGAAAATTGCGTTTTTAGATGAATTATACGTGTCACAAATATTGTATATATGCATATAGAGAAAGAGATAGGATGCATATAGAGAAAGAGATAGGACCTTTGCAATGTTAGACAATTTTCACACATGCAAGTGTGAGTAGTAAACATATTTTCCACAAAATACTTCTATAATTTTGGCTGAAACACTTTACATAGCTTTGCACTTCGTATTCATTACGCATCTAGAAATTTCAGAGATAACTTAATATTTCAACTCAGTGTGCAGCAAGCCTCCACATTTATTCAACATAAAGTCTGTTCACTGCGACCGCTCAATGACAGAGAGAAATTGACGGCTACAACCGGTTTCTTCTTCTGCTGCTGCTGGGGTCCGAAGGTGTAGGTCGTTCTTCTGGCTGTCTTGACCCCGGCTGACGTGTGCGCCATGTTTGTTTTTTTCGTTCTTTTTTGACTGCCATCTCCATATTGTGTGTAGAGCAATGTATTTCACAGAGTAAAGAAATTGGTACTGAAGATTCAACTAAAATTATCTAGATGCTGACTCCTGCAGTAAACTAACGAGGTTCTACTACTCCTCAAAAATATATTGGAATTAAATTATCCTCGAAAGGACTTCATATGCACGTGTTCCACTTATCTGATGATACGAATATTCGCCTCGTATTTCTTCAAAAATATATTTGAATAACCAGTCAACTCAATTTCCTCCGTTATAAAATTTGATATTTTTTATCATGAAACTTTGTTTAAAGACGATGTACTGAGATTTACTTTGATTGGAATATTACACGTTTCTTGTACGAAAGGTTAGGATTCAGAATGGTAGGACTATTTCTTTCAGCCGCTATTCGATCACAGTTAATAAGCTTCTGTCTGGCTATATTTACTTAATTTATGCTAGTAGTAATTCAAAATTTTATGATGTCAAGTTATAATAAATATTACTTAGTTCACATTATTTTAAGTGTCATCCTTTGGGGGTAAGTTACTTTTAATTTTATATTCCTTTTAGACCACACACTTCTATCATCACATTTGACACAACATATTTTATTACATTTGGTGCCGTGACCAGGAACATATTTTATTACACTCAGTATGACCTATTTTAAAACAAGGATAAATGCAGAAATGATATTTATCTTGTATTTTTAAAACAAGGAAAAATGCAGAAATGATATTTATTTTGTATTTTTAAAACAAGGAACGAAGGAAAATTTAAAAATGGAAATTACAATAATATAACGTAAAAGCTATGTAGCATGCTTTTGATATTATAAAAGTTTATTATTGTAAAAAAACTTTACTAAGCGAAACGTTTAGAAAATCCAATACAAGTTATCCGAAAGAAAATAGATACTTCACTATGAATTCAGCAGCAAAAGGAAATAAAACAAAACCATATCTGATAAATTTATTCTTATAGTCAGGTAATGTCGCCAGAACATAAAAATTAAACTGAAATAAATTATGCAGTATAATCAGAAACTAAAACATTCGAAAGGCATATGCCCGTACCACATACAGGCAAATCTAAACCCATAGCATACAACACTGTAATATGCAAAGTCATAAGATATCACTTATAAAATATATCCTCATATTATTTTTTGTCAAATAAATAGTTCTCAAGAAATTATGTCTCCTGGATTAAATAAAATTGAGTATAGTAGCCATCTCTTCTCTTTTACAGACAGCCAAGCCATAGTCACAGAAGAAGCGTCCGAGCCACCCCTTTCCAACATTCGCCGTCCTCCACCAGACACACCTCAGGGCTATTGTTCTTTATATACAGGAACTACCTGCCGAAAATATTTGGGATCTGCAGGTCTTGTGTACTATAACTTCAGCACAGATGGGTCACCCATACCTGTTAATGAACAAATTGCACAAGATCTCTGGGAAGAAGTTATATCTTCCCTTTTAGAACCATGCAGGACAGCAGCTGAGACCTTATTGTGCCACTATGCATTTCCAAGCTGTGAAAGAATAGATGGTTTTGCCTACAGCAAGCCACTTTGCAAGTGCGTACTTTTTAAATTATATATCTTACCAAAAATCAGTTAACTTGTTAAACGTAACTTATTCGTATTAAACACAGTAAATCTTTAACATATTTTATCCTATTGTGCATGTGATCCTAATTTATAAATGTATTACCGTTTTTTGTTTTATCTGTAATTTATAACTTTAGGTATAATAGCATCTCATGCATATACCCTCAAAACTTTCAACAGTATTTCCATGTATTTGTGTGCAGTTTCGCTGTTTTTGAAAGCTTATAACACCTAATATCACTTACATGAATGCTATACATTTAATAGAAGTAGTTATAACACTTTATATTCCTTTATAGATTTTCACTTCTGTGCTTCTGTACACAATATTGTCCGAAAGTTGTATTTTGTTAAGAATTTAATTTCCATATAAAAGATTAGCCCTCTGGCATAAAAGAATAGTCGACATCGAACTCTGCTTTCTGCTGAAGAAATTTATCGAAATATAGAATAACATCGAATATAACTTTAAACATCGAAACATAGAATAATATTCAAGACATCATGAAGAAGTCAGTCTTTAGTCTGTTCTTACATAGTCTTTATGTTAATACCGGTATCTTTACTTGTATTCATACTGCAACTACAGAATTCGTGCTACATTACTCTATAGTTTGTTATTTTAAAACAGACACTCCAAGGTCATTTTCCTCCAACTTGTGTCTCATAACAATGGTAATAATTATTGCTGTAGTGAAGTTCCCACTGTACAATAATAAAGAAACACATTACCATGGTATGTGAGAGGAAAATCTACCTTGAAGAACCTATGTTAAAGTAAGCGTATATACTATCGGTAACGCTCAGGTGAATGCCTTTGTTGTGACCTCTTTCCTTTTCATCATAGCCCCTTTCATTTTCTTGGATGCAATTGAAAAACTCGAGATTTTCTCCAATCGAAGTTTAAGTAACCAAAGATAAACGTCCTTGTGCAGATTCTGCGGAGCTAACTGCCTATGATCTCTATCTAGGTAGTCTCGGCCATGAGGGTATACAGTTTATGAGCCTAGTGGTTCTAAAGGTCTCGCAAAAGAACATTTATTGGTCGGTGATCTGACATGTGTTAGAGCTATATGCTCTGGTAGCCCAGGGGGGGTGTCTCAGCTCCTGCCTGGGTTGGCTCCCCGGGTATTCTGGTAATGATCTTGGGCGGCAGGCAGGCCGTGTGACTGGTACGTAGCAAATTATAACGATCAGTGTCGTGAACGTGATGCGTCTCTCTCTCTCTCCAAGGTGCGACGGCAGGGGTTGAGCCCCTGTGCCTGGTTCGGCGGGCCGAGGCAAATCTTAGTGTCATTTAGTTGACGAAAAGAGAAATGCCCAGAGTTGATTGATTGATTGTGGAGATTCAATTATTCATTCAGATTTCATTTATTTTGACTGATAGTTAATTTTTAGTTAGGGCAATTTCCTTTTTACTCCCCTTTTCAATTTACTTAAAACCACTTTTCAGAATTTCTAAACTTTTATCAAAACTTTTATATAGGGATAGAATAATTTTGTTTTCGAAAAGGAAAAGAATCATTCTATTTAAAATTTTTCATTATTCGATGTTCTATGATACTGTTTACATTTGATTCCTTTATTATTCAAGGAGACTTAACTATTGAAACTTTCTACACTATTTAGCAAAAGTTGTTGCTTGCCTTTTTTAACTTATCTGTAATTCACGTATTGAGTATACACGGAGAACACATTTTTCAAAAACTGAAACAAAATTACCAGCAGCAAAGGAAAGTAAACTCCATGTATTATTTTCGTGAAGTTTAATAAACAGAAATGTAATAGCTTATGTATTTGTTTTATATACAAAAAAATTACTGTATTTAATTTAGCATAATAAATACAACAATAAAAATTATTGTTTTAGTGTCGGCATAAATAAAAATTTAATCTCTATATTTTTAAGTCCTAATGTTTTATTACTTAATTTAACCAAAAAATGTTTTGTCAAGTTCAAAGATATGAACTGTCATAGCTAACACTAATTAATTATTTACCTTTTAGCTGATCTTAACTATTCTATGAAAAATTATCACCATTCACATTTATAAAATCAGCAATTTAGTAGAACATAAAATTGGTTTCAGATATAAATGCAACTATAAAAAATTATTTTGGAAAAGAAATATTGTCGTTATTTAAAATATCCTTTTGGGTTTATGCAAATATTTTCGCTTTCTATCTAAGACTAAAAACATAATCTTTTCAGCTGGATGGCCTCCATCTCAAATAAAAAAAAATATTTTTATATTAAAATTTCTACATAATTAAATTCTGTTAAATGCCATATCACAAATAGGTTAAAAGGTTTACATAAAAGGTTTCATATGATAAAAAAGGTTTCACTTAAAAGGTTTCATATGATAATATATCTTTAATGTTAGAGACTAGAAGTTATATGTGTAATATACACGATTATAATTATTTGTGTACATATTTGTATATTAAACGTATATGTGGATACACAGCATTATTATTAGATCTCTATTTGTGATAACACAATGATAATAAACCTGCATATTCATTCTCATTTTACAGTCACTGAAAAAAACGTGTTAAAGGGATGAATTTAATTTTTAAATGTCACATACTAAATTTTATATTTTTATTATTTTACTCATCAAGACTATATGTATCCTAATTGACGTTCCTAATTTCTTCTTTGCATTTATAGCGAATAACATACACATCTGTATGAGTATCTCTTTTTTTTTTTAAATTCAAGGCAATACTTTTTTCTCATAGGGAAGACTGCATAGCCGTCCAAGACTTATTTTGTTACAATGAATGGGCTATGATAGAAGATAATAAACAAAGGGGAATCTATTTCAAATCAAGAGGCCACTTTCGTTTGCCAGACTGCAATGTTTTACCAGAAAGAGGAAATTCTTCATTTCCTGTATGTTCTCACGCACATCTGACAGACATTCAAGAAGAGGAAGTCACAGGTAAAACACATTTTACTTAAAAGGTTTCATATGATAATTTCTGATATATTAGATTCATTTGAAGCATCATCTTAAAATTTCGCAATTGAATATAGAATCTGACCTAGGTTCTGTTATATTTTATTGTAGCTGATGAAGCTTGTAGTTGACTCTGAATTAGACTAATGAGCATCCCGAAACATAATAAAGTAATCGTTATTATCAGCCAACATGGCTTTACTAAAAAATCCAGCTTATGTTGAAAAAAGGCTGTAAGACTAATTATTCCCTTAATGATGCAAATGTAATGTTATTTAATGATATAAACGTAGCGTCTACAAAGATTTCAGATGCCCAGTTTTGAAAGCTCTTTGAATCACAATTTATTGTGTTCTGCATAATGATACTGAATATTATTACTTGAAAATTATTTTATAACGCGAAAGTATAGTAATAAAGTGATATTAAGTGTATTATCATAAATACGAATGGTGAGAAAGCTTATTATGAATATTTATGTGTGTTTTAAACCAATGTTTCAAAAATATTTCCTTTACTTTGAAACCGAACACATTATTTAAAATAGATTTCTGTTTACAAATGCATAATTTAACATTATATATGCAAATAAAATCCTGGCATCATAGCATATTTTTCAAAGGATACCAAAAAGTTGATTTCAGTTCCTAAAATTTACCTGTGCATTAAACTGTTGTCTACCGTAATAGCAAATATTGAAATAAATAATTTTAAAGCCATGTATTTACATGTATAATAATTACTACTCTACACTAAATAATATGTACAGTACGTCTGTAAAGTTTTAAGACTACATTCGTACAAATTTTGAGGTTCAAGATAACAACATACTTACATATTAGTCCTCCAAACAAAGTCCTTGTTTGTTTGATTCTTTTTAAATCTCCAGTTAGGGCTTTCTGTATCCATTCAGCGCTAATAAAAAAATTATTTTTGAGGTGAAATTTCACTTTAGGAAATAAAAAATAATTTTCTGGTATTAAATGGGATGAATAAGAATTAGATTTTAATGATATGTTGTATACTTTTCTTTGGTAGAAATCTTACAAGAATGTATCTGTGTGACTGCGCATTGTCGTGCAGCATAAACGATTGATGTTTTTCAGACTTAGCATATTGAAGTCTCTTCAGAAATCTATCTATTATTTCTTTATAAAATAAGAAAAATATACGAAGTTCCTGGTGTGCGCTTAAAGAATAAATTCTTCGTGAAATATGCATTTTCAATCAAACAAGGTTTACACACGAGAATTCTCAAACCGAAGTTTCTGTAACTCTGATGATTCTTCTGCGATCCAAGCAAATAATAATAGAATTTTTTCTGGATCTGAAGCATAAGTACAAAGTTCTAGTCATTTTTTTTTCTAAATGAAATTAATATCTATAATTTCGATCAAATGCTGAAATCCACTAATTTTATCTTTTTTTTTTTTTTTTTTTTTTTTTTTTTTATATATATATATATATATATTCTCTTATTAATGCGTGAAGAACAAAAATGACAACAATTCCTTCTTTCTTCGAGATTTCCATGGCAATTTTGTGAGCAATGTCTTACTGATAGTAAGCTCATCAGCTATAATTCGAACAGACAAATGGCGACTTTTAGCAGCAACTTGCGGAAATTATTATGCCTTTTATTTCGGAGCGGGAAACCTGAAAATTGCACAATGCCTTCTGGGAAGGAGAAGACGCAGTCGCTATATCCTGGAGGTGATGAATTATCGTCCATCACATTTTAATTCGGGCGCCACCTGTACAAACCTTTAGGCACTTTATTTTGAAGCAGGAGACGTGAAGCATTTGCAGTACTCTCTCCAGGTCTCGAACTAAGGATCTTTCCATTGCTAACCTGACGTGATTTCCAGTCATACCAGTGAAGCTACGCGGAAAACATGAAGACAATATCTTACATATTATTAAACATTTTCGACGTTCCCATCCGTTTCAGAACTTCAGAGACGACCATAATTGGGTTCATCGTTACTATTTTTGCTTCTATCTTGAAATCTTTTGTACCACTGAAAAACATTGGATCGTATTTATGCTTAATCACTGAATGTCTTACATAATATTTTAATGTCTCTGTTGCTCTTACATCTTTCCCGCTTTGCAAGAAAATGTAATTATTATCATTTGTTCAGTTTAAATTTAATGGCAGTAGATGTTCAGTGCATTAAAACACACTGTTCACTGTTTAGAAAATTATTTCCGTAAACAGATAAATAATTTAGGTAAAGCAAGGTGCTTAGGAATGTCACAATAGCAAATGCTGTCAATTACCGTTAGGCAAATAAACGAGAATTTGATAAAAATTACTTCTAAAACTTTATTTTTATTTATTTTTATTTTTATAAACTCCTGTGTATATTTACTCTTTAGAAAATGCATTATCAGTACCCATTTATTCTGCGAATGAACGTTTTCGACCATGTCGCCAAACAGTTCAAGTTTTTGTCAATAAACGAAAGCGTGACGTTACAACACACTCACAAGAGTTTCGCTTTGATTTTGTGCAACTCTGATCTTAATACGTCAGGTTAGGTTTTGTAATGAAGTTATAAATATAACTGCTGTTTCTGTTTTTCTCTTGCGTTTTGAAGAAAGGTCAAAATTTGGAGCTACCTTCCAAGAAAAGCAAGGGAGGAGTATTTTCAACGCTCTGGGATTGGTTAGACTGAGGCGCATTTTCAAAGCATTAAAAACTATGTTCATCAAATAACAAAATAGAAGACATGGCGGAGTAGCTGGCATTTAATTGAATTTATATAGCGTCGAAATTATAAAGCAGATTAGATTTGTCGTTAAGTTATATTCCATTAAGGTTTTTGACAGCCTGTATGACTGGCGCTATTTTGATGAAATTCTTTGTCAGATAATCTCAAAACTTGAACACGTACTTACCTAATTTTTAACGCCGTATTCTTAACTTATAGTTTGGGTTTTATTCTCGTTCTAGTTACAAAAAGAACAATATGTTACTAGAGCAATAAAGAGCAATATGTTTCCTTCAAACTTTCGCTGGAATTAGTTGCGCAGTTTTGGCAACTTCCACGATCGAGTGAAAACACATGAAGTACCATATAATCTTTTCAAGTACTTAGTGACATCACCAGTACTAAGAAATATCTTTGCAAGCTTTTAATTCTCGATATAAATGTTAAGAAGAATGAAAATTTGAAAAATTAATTTCATCTAGTATCACTAATTTACCAGAGAAATTCTGAAAGGATGGAACAAAAAATTCGCTTTATAAAATGCTGAAACGCTGAAATGAAGACATAACAATTTAGAACTATCTTGCAAAACACATGCTATTTCGGGATATATTTGTGCTTCTATATTAAAATTCCAAAACAAAATATTGTTCAGGTTTTCATCACTTGCCTCTTTCAAAATATTCATTGGTACCTACTTAACGATTTTTAAAATAAATTGAAAAGCATAATTAAAGCACCCTTAGAATTCAGTAATTAGCTTGTTATAAATTTTTCATAATTCGTCTAATCTAATAAGAATAGTAAAGCTAATCTCAATCTAAATCCTTAACCTCTACAACTAGGTAAAACGAGAACTAATAGATTAAATAACTAAAATCTTGACTGATGAACTTTGATCATCATGATGATGCAAAATTCCGAAAATGCGGGAATGACTTGAGATATACTTTTTACAGATAATTCCATGGCATTTCCAATCACATGTCCGAGACCTTTATTGGGAACAAACAAAATACAAGGAAAAAAGGTAATCAAAAGGAATAATACGTAATGCATGTTTAGGCAAGCAAAATTGTAAATTTCTTATTTTCCCCTGATGGTTGGCATTCGTAACAAGCAAATGGGTAAAAGAATAATAAATCACATTTAAATCAATGAGAAATGCAATCTGAAAGAAAGAAATGGAACGATTAATGAAAACCTGCATTTATTTCTCAGAAAACATACTACGAACCATCAAAATCTTCCTCCTTTCTGAATTAATTTCTGGAGGAATTTTATAAAGTTAGAATTGCGAAAAAAAAATATTTTGGAGCAAACCATTTTAAGCCAATAATTAATAAATTGTAAAAACTCGTATTCAGAAATGAAGTTATCTAAAATTATGCCAATATCAAATTATCGTATTGCATAATTATGGGCTAAACTTCTGAGATATTCTGTTATATTATCGTTTCTAAAATAATTCAGATTCAATAGTTATACGAAATTATTTTCATCAAAATTACTTAAAATTTTAATCAACTGGTTCAGAGGAATCACTCAGGCAGGAAATTCACATTTTTATTAAATCTGAATTGAAAATCGAATGACTTTTTTTTGAAGGAATCTTTTTAGCATATTATTGCTTTAAAATTAGTAAATATGTAGATAAATATACGAATAATTCAACTTTTTTGTCATGCGTAACAATACATTTGTATAAAATTATTACAAAATCATTTTATATATTATTCAAAAGATTTTAATTCATTAGTTCTAGGTAATATTTTAGTAATTCTACAAGATGTGTTTAATTGCAAAAAGTGTTTTGTTTTAAAATTTGAGACAGCCAGAGGTATGCAACAGGTTAAGAAAATTAATGGACTAAATATAATATGGCAACATATCATGTAGGCTTGTAAAGAAAAATATGTCTTGATGGCGAAGTGTTATGACGGCCAAACGGAGACGTCGAAACAGTGCGATGAACAGTCCTATTTCTTTTTATCAGTTTCCAAAGCTTTCCTCTGCGAAAACAAATGGTGACAACATTCTAAGCATTTGAAAGCACTTGAAGAAAATAAGCAGATTTCAGGATATCTTCAATATGAACATTCCAGTTTAATTCCTAGAACTTTTCTCAAACCTAGGAACAACACAATTATCAGTGCAGAAGGAGATGACAGAATTGTCAACAAACGGAGAGTTAAAACTGAAATTAAAAAATAGATATCAAGAATTTTGACTTTAAAGACAGACTATACCTTGCTTTGTAAGCTG